CTATGCAAGATGGGGGTCGGTTGAGGGCCAAATTTAACATGTAATGTTAATGATTTAATGATGCCAGGCTTCAAAACCCAAGAAACACTGAGATTCTTCTAAGAAGATTCTTTTATGGTTCATCACCTATAGGCAGAAATCTTACCAAATTAAAGCAGAATAAGAAGCAGAGTTGGAAGGGACCTTGGAGGTCTTCTAGTCCAGCCCCCTGCTTAGGCAGGAAACCCTACATCACTTCAGACAAATGGTTATCCAATCTCTTCTTAAAAACTTCCAGTGTTGGAGCATTTACAAACTTCTGGAGGAAAGTTGTTCCACTGATTAATTGTTCAAGAACTGTCAGGAAATTCCTCCTTAGTTCTAGGTTGCTTCTCTCCTTGATGAGTTTTCATCCGTTGCTTCTTGTTTTGCATTCAGGTGCTTTGGAGAATAGGTTGACTACTTGCACATAACACATATACTCTGGGAACTATTAAGAAGAAGCCATCTTTTATTTATTTATGTATTTATTTATTTTTATTTATTTGATTTGATTTGTCAATCACTTACAAGATAATAAGTATAAGTATAAATATGAGTAGGAATACAGGAAATAGGTATGAATAAATGGGGACAATAGGACAGGGATGGTAGGGACAATGGTGTACTTATACACGTCCCTTACAGATCTTTTAGGAATGGGGTGAGGTCAATAGCGGATAGTTTAAGGTTAAAGGAATGGGGTTAGAGGATGTAACAACAGTGTCCGGTAGTGCATTCCAGGCACTGACCATTCTGTTGCTGAAGTCGTGTCTTCATCCACTTTTTCTCACTATCTAAACTACGTTGTCTCTTCGGGAATGCCTTCCTCCCTTCCCTCCTGGGAATCTGGACCCCATTCCATCAGAAACGATGGGCTAATGGGGCAATTCACCCTATTTTGGAGCTCTCATGGTCCCACTTCCTCCATTCAGATTTACGGCCACAAATTTCCATCACTAAGCGAAACAGTTGTGTGAGTTTTGCTTGGTTTTGCCACTTAACCGTAGTTAAGTGATTGTGTAGTTGTTAAGTTAGGAACACACTGTTAAGCGAATCTGGCTTCCCCATTGACTTTGTTCTTCAGGAGGTGATTGCGTAACCCTGGGACACTGCAACCATCATCAATACAGGCCTGTAGTCAAGGACTCCAGTTTGGGGCCATGGAGATGCTGCAACAGCCATAACAAGGGTGGAAAGCAGTCATAAATCACTTTCTTCAATACTGTTATAACTTTGGTCACTTATGGTTGTAAGTCAAAGACTACCTATAAGGTCTGCTTATGAAAAGTCCTATAAGAAATTATCCTTAAGAGAAAGTGATTCCACCCCTCTACATGAAGGGACAGAATGAAGCAATTTATTATTTCTGGCAGGAGCCACATGAGGTCCAGTTCCATCTTAACAACCTAGAACTAAGAAGAAAATTCGTTGCAGTGAGAGCAATCCACCAATGGAACATCTGGCCTTCAGAAGTTGTAGGTGCTTCATCACTGCTGGGCAGAAGAGTCTGGGCAGCCACTTGTCCAGCATAATATTGGATCTCCTACTTGAGCAGGGGTTTTGGCTAGAAGACCTCCAAGAGTCTACTCTGATTGAAACTAACTACGGAAAAAGCAACCTAGAACCAAGGAGAAACTTCCTAAGAGTGAGGACAATCAGCCAACTGGACTGCCTCTTGTCCAGAATGGTATAGGGTCTCCTGCTTGAGACCTTATAAAAGACCCCCAAGGTCTCTTCCAGCACTATTCTGATTGAAACTAACCAAGGAGAGAAGCAACTTAGAATGAAGGAGAAACTTCCCAAAGTGAGAGCAATCAACCAGTGGAACATTTTACCTTCAGAAGTTGTAGGTGCTTCATCACTGGAGGTTTTTTTCTTTTTTTTTTAAACAAACTTTATTGATTACAAAACCAAAACATCAAACAAACACAACACACAGAAAAAGAAAGGAAAGAAATAGAAAAAAAAGAAAATGATTAAAAAACTAACAATTATACTATCGACAGTCTATGGTTCCTCGTTTGTTATCAATATTGGTGATACATTTACAAATACATCTTATTGCGAATATATAATTATGATTTACTTTTAATGTTATTTACTAATATATTTTCTATTTTTGTTCTATCCAATCATACCAGCAATCCCAGCTTCTATAATATTCTGATGTTTCTTTTTCCTTAAGTGCTAAGGTTAACTTGTCCATCTCTGCACAGGCTGTTATCTTCTGTATAACCATCTCCTCTGTTGGAATATCTGCTTGTTTCCAACACTGGGCAAAGGTTATTCTGGTTGAAGTAAAAATATGCAGTATTATATATTTAACATTTTTAGGAATTTGTCTATTAAATATCCCCAATAGGAAGAATTCTGGTTTTAATTCAATTTGCTCCGCTGTTATTTCCTCTAACCATTTTTTTATTCTATGCCAGTATTTTTGGGCTTCAGTGCAGGACCACCACATATGAAAAAATGTTCCCTGTTTCTTTTTACATTTCCAGCAATTCGGATTCATGTTAGAAGACATTTTCGCTATTCTCAAGGATGGGAGATGCCATCTATAAAACATTTTATAAGCATTTTTTTTATATGTTGCTGATTTTGTAATTTTATTATTCCTTGTCCAGACCTTTTCCCATTCTAATAATGTAATACTACATCCTATGTTTCGGCTCCAAGCTATCATGTTGCCTTTGACTACTTCCTCTTCTAATTCCGTCTCTAGTAAATAATTATAAAATTTAGTTATATTTCTTTTATCTGGACCTAATAAAATTTTATCTATTTGTTGTGCCTTAGTATAAATTCCAAATTTTTTCTTGTCCTGGCTATATCTATTTTGAATCTGCAAGTAAGCCCACCGGTCTACTTGTAGCCCCTGTTCTTGGAGATCTTGCCATGATTTTAAAGTTCCTTGTGCATCAAGAATACAAAGACCTCCTTGATGCTCATTACTGGAGTTTTTTTAAGAAGAAACTGGACAGCCACCTGCCTGAAATCATAGGGTCTCCTGCTTGAGCAGGGGGTTAGACTAGAAGACCTCCAAGGTCCCTTCGGATTCTGTTATTCTGCATAGAAAGCTCAGAAACCCGAAACACGGAAAGGACAAAACGGGCTTCTCACTTCCTGATTCAAACTACAGGCCTGTGTTTTCTGCCTAAGAGATAAATTAATGGAGTGGAAAAGAAGAAGGATGGCAACTGTTCCAATGTCAGTCAACCTATTTATAACCAACACATAGTAAGGATATAATTAGTAAGGCTACAATCTGAATAGCGCTATATAAACCGGCAAGTGTTCGAGGGGAAATAAAACATCCTAAAAAAATTAAAAAAAGGCATGACATCAGAAAATACCCTTATAAGTTAACTGAGATCAAAAAACAGCTTACATTTGCATATGATCTGGAAAGGCAGCCTTTGTAGATTTCCTTTGCAGGAAGCCTCCCAGCTAAGACATCGGTTTGGGATGCTGCCCCCGGTTTGCAAAGCAAACACAGGTTAGCAATCCTTATGTCTTACAAAGGCAGCCAGAAGAAGATGCAACAACTCTTAGTTTGCTCCGGATAGGTTGCACGGAGCCTACCAACCTTCCTATGGCTAGAAAAAGTACCCCGACACCTGATAATTTCACGTTCAAATCTATGTTGTTGTTTTTTTCTTTGCAAAAATTCAGAAGCGTTTTCTTCCAGAAAGAGCTTTCATCTACAGTCTAGCCTAGAGCTCAGACAATTCCTGGTAATTTCCCATCTTGGACTAATCAGGCCTGACTCTGCTTAGCTTCTGAACCTAGGCAAGATCAGTCATTTGACCCTTCAACCGGATGTTAATAAAAGGAAGGGAGGATTCTTAGCAAGCTGCTTTTCATCCTTGGTTGTTCTAGCTCTCTATTGTGAGGCAGGGTGATAGGAGCTGTGCCTTAGCCGAACACTGAATGTGGCACTCCTATATAAGCCTGTTGTGATTGGAAGGATCGGTCCTGTTGGGAGTTTTGACTCTGAACACTGTTAGATCGTGGATTGACGTCAGAACCAGGAAACGTTAATCTGAAGGGCAAGCCAGTTAATTAGCACGTTGCCTTAATGGGTATAAAAGGACACAGCTAGCTGGTGCTTTTCGCCAGGAACAAAATGACTATTTTGAATGAGGACGTTACTGCAAAGAGCTCTCTGTTTGTTTGAATTTCGAAGGGGAGTCCTAACAGTTTCTGCCAGCCGTTATCTTGTTACTTCCTTCAGTTTGATTTGATTGTGAAACGGCTGCTTTATGTTTGTTCGTTTGAATTTCCAAGAGGAGACATAACATAAGCCTATGTATATGTGTATATTCTCTGCCTCTAAGCTTCATGCCTTCCGTCTACCACAAAGTGATTTGCATTTTTTCGTTGGATTAAAAGCTGTGACACAAGTATAATTTAGCTTCGGTTCTCATTTCAGCAGGGAGAAATATTTGAGAGGGGTTTTTTTTTTGATCTTCTGAAAAACCTACGCCACACCTGGATTTTCTCCATAGGTGTTATTCATCCATCTATTTCTTCTTTTCCTGCGATTTGTCTGATTTTCATTTAAGTTGCGGGTCACGGTTGCTGCGATGCTATTGTGAAGATTTATTTGCTGTGCCATGCTGTTGCTTATTATTTATAGAACGCCTGCCAGCTTAGGTGCTGTGTTTGAATTGCAAGATTCCTGAAGATTTCGGTGTAAATCACTTCGGAATATTTGAGGACGGGGGGAGGGAGTCAGTTTGAAAACACTAGGATGGTCCTGAGTATTCATGATGCATTTTCACTTAGAAATGCTAGGGAACTCCCAATCAGGCAAGGAGAAGGGATCAAGCAGGGAGGTAGCCTTGAATCTTTGTACAAAAGTAACAAACTTAGACCTTTACATAGAGATGTTCCAAGAAAGCTTATCTGGTTGCTTCCATGGGAACGCGAGAAGTCTGCGGAGATTCTTGTATTATAGGTAACATGCAATAGAGTTCAGGTAGTCCTCTATTGTTCACAATTGAGTCCAAAATTCCTGTTGTTAAGTGGAGACATTTCTTAAATGAGTTTTACCCCATTTTATGACCTTTCTTTCCTCTGTTGTTAAGTGAATTTCTGTGGTTGATAAGTTAGTAACCTAGTCGTTAAGTGAATCTGGTCGCCCATTGACTTTGCTTGTCAGAAGGTCACAAAAGGGGATCATGTGACCTTGGGACACAGAAATGGTCATAAGTATGAACCAATGGCTAAGCATCTGAACTTTGATCACGTGATCATGGGGAGGCTAAAAAAGGCTGCAACTGTGAAAAACGGTCATGAGTCACTTTTTAACTTTAAATGGTCACTAAATGAACTGTTGTAAGTCAAGGACTATCTGTAGTTAACCTGGACCTTTCATGAGTGGATCTGGTGGCCCGCACTTGACATGAAATCCACGAAGGAAAACAAGAGTATGAAAACGTTTCAGGACAAGCAAATAAGAAATTTGGGGATTGATTCCCAAATGGAAAGTGCCACTGAAGGACAAATCTCTTCGAAAGGAAAAGGGGATGAGAGCCACTTGGCAGGATGAAGTGAAAGAAAGAAGAAAGTCACTTCAAAGTCACGGTTGAGGTAAAGTGTAAGAAGATCACCTCTCTTCTTAGAACTACGCCACTTTCGATCTGACCTAAACATAGTACATAAAATTATCTGCTGCAACGTCCTACCTGCCAATGATCACTTCAGCTTCAACCACAACAATACACGGGCACACAATAGATACAAACTTAAGGTAAACCGCTTCAAACTCGATTGCAGAAAATACAACTTCAACAACAGAATTGTCAATTGCCCTACCTGACTCTGTGGTTTCATTCCCAAACCCCCAAAACTTTAACCACAGACTGTCCACTATTGACCACACCCTGTTCCAAAGAGGGCTGTAGGGAGCGTAAGTGTGTGTAAGCACACCAACCTAACTAACGTCCCTGTCCTAATGTCCCCTTTTATTTGTACCCATTTAATGTAATCGTAATTATGTTCTAATTATATCTTTTATCTAATGCATGCTTGACAAATAAAATACATTAAAAAATTAAAAATAAATAAATCACTAGCACGTAAAATAGAGCTAACTTACACAAGCAAAATAATTACTGTGAAGGTGAATCAGGTGATAACAGAATGGAGGGCTGAGCCTAATGAGAATAAAAGAATTTTTTTTTTAAATTATCCAGTTCAGTAAGATTGCTAAAAGGTTTGTTCCCTGAAACTTTTTTTTAATTGTTATCAAACTTCTTATATGAGCTGAAATCAGCAAGAACAGTTAAAGTGTTATGATTGGAAATTAAAATTAATGTGTAGTTTCTCCTTTCAGGGTGCGTAAAAGTTTTTGTTTTTCATAGTTCTTTCGGTCTTCCTTACATAAAAAAGCCTCAAACTATTTTTATATAATACCCAAGAAATGAATCTTGGCTTGGTTAATATGAGTTCTTGGATTGAACTGAGCAGATAATTCATTATATCTGGTTATTCTGGATAGGTGACGAAGCAGAATATGGAGGAGACATTTACAGGGGGTGGAAATGTGATCTTGCCAACTGGATTTAGCAGAACTAGCAAGAAACTAATATTCTGCAGACTTTCTTCTACTGGGGTCATTTGCATATCTTCCATGATTACATTGGCTGGACGTGCAACTGTTGAAGAAATCCTTTCCTGGATCTCAAGACCTTCATCTACTTTGGCCGCAGTGGTAGCCATGAGTACCATTTAGACCATGGTTAACATAACCCCTGATTAGTGCTTTCCTTTGCCTCCTTTCCCCTCCCACCATGCCATGACATGCAAGAGCCAATCACATTCGTCTAGGAAGCTAGGCAGAATCACATCAGATACCTGTACAATTAGCACAATGCCCCACCCCGCAAGGCTGTATGCTTTCTCCACTTCTCTTCTCCCTATATACCAACGACTGCATCTCAAATGATCCATCTGTTAAAATACTGAGGTTTCCAGATGATACAACAGTGATTGATCTCATTCGAAACAACAACGAATCCTCATACAGATGGGAGACTGTACAACTTGCCTTGTGGTGTAACTGGAACAATCTGGAACTGAACACACTCAAAACTATAGAAATGGTGGTAGGTGTTATAGATCAGGAAATGAGAGGCTAGACCAGAGCATTAACAAGGAATGGCTTTATTCAATGGAATAAAGGGCTGTCGCGTCTGCATACTAACAAGCAGACATGCTCAGCGAACAGCAGCTGGCTCGACCTAGCAGCCGGCTTTTATAGCCGGCTGTCGAAGGGAGCCATCCAATGGGAGCTGTAAACGCCCCCGTAGTATAGACGGACTTGGTTGGGAACTTTGGTCAGTTCCAAGGACATAACAGTAGGCTTTAGGAGAAACCCTCCCAGTACCACCTCTTACAATAGTAGACAACACAGTATCAACAGTAGAGACCTTCAAATTTCTAGGTTCTGTCATATCACAAGATCTAAAAAGGACACCTAATATCAAAAATGTCATAAAAAAAAACCACAACAAAGAATGTTCTTCCTGCGCCAACTCAGCAAACTCAAACTGCCCAAGGAGCTGCTGATCCAGTTCTACAGAGGAATGATTGAGTCTATCACCTGCACCTCTATAACTGTCTGGTTTGGTTCTGCAACCCAACAGGACGGACACAGACTTCAGAGGGTAATTAGGACTGCAGAAAAAAACAGTTACTACCAACCTGCCTTCCATCGAGGACCTGTATATTGCACAAGTCAAAAATAGGGCTGTGAAAATATCTACAGGCCCCTCACATCCTGGACATAAACTGCTTCAACTCCTTCCCCCAAAATGACGCTATACAACACTGCACACCATAACAACTAGACACAAGGACATTTTTTTCCTGAATGCCATCACTCTGCTAAACAAATAATTCCCTCAACACTATCCAACTATTTACAAAATCTACATTACTATTACTATCAATCTTCTCATCACTCCTATCACCCATCCCCTCCCAACTTCTGACTGTATGGCTGTAACTTGTATCCTTACAATTTATATTGACTGTTTCCTAGTATGATTTGATTGCTTATTGAACCCTGTGACTATTATTAAGTGTTGTACCTTATAATTCTTGATGAGTGTATCTTTTCTTTTATGTATACTGGGAGCATATGCACCAAGACAAATTCCTTGTGTGTCCAATCACACTTGGCCAATAAAGAACTATTCTATTCTATTCTATTCTATTCTATTCTATTCTATTCTATTCTATTCTATTCCATTCCATTCCATTCCATTCCATTCCATTCCATTATGGGCCTGTCTTTTCAGAACTATGAAAAGTCAACAAAAAGCATTTCTTCCCATCATTTGGGCTTCAAGGGGAAATTGACAGAAATCTGTCAATAATTGACAAAAAATGACTAGCATAGTTATTGAATTTTACATAAATATCTGTAATGGAATTCGTACTTCTAATCCTGTCATCCCTGTGCATCTTTGACTTTTAACTTTACATGAAGTATGCCTGTTCTAAAAACAGTTACGAACAGTCAACATTAATAGTCCTGTAACAGAATTTCTGGCACCAACACACAACACAATTCTGGCAGACCTCTTCTGGAGATTTCCTTCTGCCTATCTCCAGAGGCTTCTTAAATATTTACTGTCAGATTTAAACCCCCATGCTCTTGGCAAATCACACCCGGTTTACTGTGCAACGTTAAGTAGCACTAAAGAATACCATGCAAGGCAGCATAAACAAAACAATAAATAGTACCAGGAAACACAAACATAAATTCCAACACAGCAATCATACAGTATCAAAGAAAACTATGCAAATTAAGAATGAAACCCACTGATGCATGTTAAAACTTTAGAGTTCCCTCCAAAGTAACTTTACTTGGTGGAGGCAGGTCAATTGTCCCCACATGTTCCTGAGTCAAGAGATCCTACCCCACCTCGCTCCAGCCAGTTCAAGAAATAAATCGCCTTTATTTTCTACTGTTCCAAAACATGAAAGACCAGAAGATGAACAGGCTACCTAGATAGGTCTTGCAAGTACAATCCCATTCTTCCATCCCAAGACTCCAGGAGACCTATGCTCAGCTCATACGGACCACATTCACACAAATGTCAGGCCCAGAATCAAAGATGACACTGTGAGATCCTATCAAGTCCACTCTTTTATTTGCTTACAGTTAATAGACAGAATCTTGCCAGACTAAAGCAATAACCTTTTAATGTACTAGATGTATCTTCTAAGGCAGTGATGGTGAACCTTTTCAGCACTGAATGCCCAAACTGGAATGCAGGCATGTGGGCACACTTGCGCACATGCCAGAGTGCTGCAAACTGAAGACCAACTGGCCGGTGCACAGGCGTGTGCTGGCGAGCTTGTCTTCACGTGTGCTGGAGCACCGGAAACCCAAAGACCAGCTGGCCTATGTGCATGTGCACGCCAGGCAGCTAGTCTTCACGCATGTCAGAGCACCAGAAACCTGAAGACCAGCTGGCCCGCACACATGCCCAGAGAGAGGGTTCTGCATGCCAGAGGTTTGCCATCATGGTTCTAGGGTGTTGGCTACCCTGAACCTCTTCCTTCCTTCTCTACCTTGAGGCTGTGCAGTCTCTTAATCTGGGCCCCACTCTGGAAAAAAACTGTGTTGCCACAACTCCCCACTCTTCTCCTACAGCTGCTCCCATCGCAACCGTACTGGTAATCTCGTTACTGAATTCACCCACGTTTAGGGTTTCATGTGCTAAATTAGATACCAACCAAGTTGTCATGAGTTTGCACAATGTGTTGAAACCTAAAAAGTAACCAAGCTTAACATGAATGAATCCAAGCCATCATGCCGGTGCAGCCTCTTGGAGCAGGATGCTTTGCAGGGTCCCAAACACTCATTTCTGGCGGAGTTTGGGGGAGAGAAAAAAATTTTTTTTGCTGCAGCCAAAGGCAGAAAAAGAAAAAGCAACCCAGTGGCTAGACCAGGTGTGTGGGGCAAGTGGGGCAAGTTCACCTTTCCCCCCTCCCCTCACTATCTCATGTTGTTTGCAATGCAAGCAATGTAAGCCTTGTGTTCCCTCAGGCCACGTGGGCAGTGCACACCTGTGTTCCCGCACAGCCTGGATTAATTGCTTTGGGGGGTACTTTGGGGGTGACATTTCCCTGCAGACCACCAACATTTTCTCATGGACCACCAGTGGTCCCCAGCCCACTGGTTGGCGACTACTGGTTTAGAATACGTATTATGAAGTAGTTTTATTGTTTTCCAGTTTTATTACGGAGAACGGTGAACTATCAGAATGTGCAATTGTAATATATGAGGAATGGAAAACAATAAAAATGCTGTGTATTTTATAGGATGGACAAATAAATTCCTAGTATAATTTGATTGCTTATTGTACCCTATGGCTATCACTAAGTGTTGTATCTTATGATTCTTGACTCTTGACAAATGTATCTTTTATTTTATGTATACTGAGAGTATTTGCACCAAGACAAATTCCTTGTGTGTCCAAGTATACTTGGCCTATAAAGAATTCTATTCTATTCTATTCTATTCTATTCTATTCTATTCTATTCTATTCTATTCTATTCTATCTATTCTAACAGCAATGATGCAGTTCTTTGGTTTGGAATGACTTAGCACTTTTCTGGACTTTTGTTCTAAAGATGTACAAACCATCCTCCCTCTGTTAAGTATCTAAACTACATCTCTAAATTGCAAAACTT